TATAGATCTACTCGGCGCTCTACCTAGTATCAGTTCCTTAATCGCTCAAAAGGACTTAAGCTATAGTAAGGCCCTACGCGGCAATAGCTTAGTTACGACCCGATCATTGGCGTTAGACTATTCGAGGAGTATTAAAGTAAGTATACCCTAAACCTATCTAACCTAACTGTGACCAGTTAGCTAGTGCGTAATACCTAAGTCCTTTTAAACGATTAAGGAACTAATACTAGGTAGAGCGCCGAGTAGATCTATACTAGGGTATTAGTCTACTAGTAAGTATTATTAAGTTATAATTAAGTAAAGAGTTATAGTAATCTAAAAGGTAAATATAAGTAATAATATATAATTAAAGATAAAGAACTAAACTAGATATATAAATAAGTATCCTTATATATCCCTAAGTTCTTCCTATATAGAATAGTAAATAGTAGAATAGTAGAATCGCTTTAGCGGATTTTACTAATCTACTTACTACCCTTCTACTACCTATATAATTACGTAATACTAAGCGGTAGTTATCTAGTACGTAGAGTAACCTATATAATAGAAATCTTCTATAAGGTAGATCCGCTTAGGGCGGATTATACTCTTACTTAGTAAGCTTTATATATAATCTACTAATAGGTCTACTAGTTAGCTCTCGATAGCCTATTAGTATACCTAGTAGGTTACTACTAATTAGTAATAGATAGGTCTATAATATTACCTCCTCTCTTCCTAGGAGTTTCGTCCCTAAGACTTATAAAGCTATAGTACCCCTCTTTAGATAAATAATAGATTTCTTTTTTTTAAAATAATATATCCTTATTATATCTAAACGAAAGACTAACTCTATTTCCTTACTTACTCCTAAACTTCCTTCCGATTCTTCTAATACTTATTATCGTTAGGCGACTTATATTAAGGATAATAGTTTTACTACCTCTATTTCTTATAATTATTATAAATCGGTAAGTATTACTTATCTAATAGACCGTTCTTATTAATATTCGAAATATACCTTATATACTCGTATAGGTCGCTTATATAAGCGTAACTTTTATATTAACGTATTTCATAAGCGAGCCGCCACTATAAGCGAGCCGCCATCTCCAAAACACATAGTAAATGCGACATTCTCTATATTTATATCTTAACAACCACGTTTTTGTTTTGCTTTATTGCTTGTCGATAACTTTTGATAAGGCTTATTAAAACTATATATCACTTTCAAGAAATAGAAATAATATATTAGCCTTATTTCAAAACTTACGGAAAATTATATTATTATAAGCTAGAAATATATATATCTCGATAAATAAGAGCTAAACATTTCCCAAACTCTCTAAAGAGGCTAGATATTATCAAAAGGTCATTAGACTACAAGTTAAGGTGCTCATAGGCTAACGTTGTTAAGATCTCAAATTGTAATCTATCGCATTTACTATGTGTTTTGGAGATGGCGGCTCGCTTATGGTGGCGGCTCGCTTGTGAAATACGTTAGTTAGAAATAGGATTTATTACGTTATACTAAAACTAAACTTTCTTCGGATCTTAAAATAAATAAAAGTAAACTCGATTTATTAGAACCTAAATTAAATAAACTATAAGCTTATCTTATAAAGCTATATTAAAAATTATTAAATAAATAAAAATAATACTAAGAAGCGATATCTAGATAATATTAGTTATATAAATAAATATCCTTCCTAAAATAAAAGGGTTTTAAAATATCGGAATATAATACTAAACTCCTTTAAATTCTTAATAAAAAATAAATATCCCTAGAGTAGGCTTCCTCTTCTACTCTTAATCTTAAGTAGCTTACTACTACTACTAACTATCCGAACTTTAATTAGATATTAGCGGAGATTACTAGTCTATCTATTTCTTTCTAAGATAAATCTAGTTTTATACCCTTTTTACTTTCCGCTATATAAGGGTCTTTTTCGTCTATTAGTAATACTATTAAATAAGCTAGTAGTAGCCCCTTAGATTCTAGATAGATTCCTATATATTTTCTAAGGTAGGATACCCTTTCTATTAAACTAAGAGTTATTACTAACTATTATACTATCTATTTAATAGGATTTATTCGACTTTATATTCGTCTTCGGTTTCCTCGATTTCTATATTAGTTATAATTTCGGTATTATCTAGTACTAGTTCGAGTAACGAGATATAAAATACTATATAGAGTTTTTATATACTTTTTAGTAGCTTTAAGCGATAATTTACTAGTCCTAATTTTTCCTTAATTTTAAACGGTCCTAGTTATAGGTAGTCTAATTTATTACTAGATCGCTTAGTTTTAATATTATATTATAATAGGTAAACCTTTTTTACCTCCTTAAGGTTAGGTCCCTCTCTATAGTAATCGTCGTAATATTTCTTTATATATAGATTAATAAAGTCAATATTTCTAGCTAGTTATATATATAGCTTTCTTAGTCCGCTAGCCTTTAGTCTCGCTAATTCTACCACGGCTATCTTATTAATTAGTTCTCCGAATACTATTAGATTATATCTATAATTCGTAAAAAATAGTATTTCGTTAGTTATAGAGTACGCTATATTATTATATACTAGCTATACTATTAGTAGTAGTCCTATCTAGTTATCTTACTAGTAGTTTACTATTACGGACCTATCCGTTACCAATCAGTGGTAACCCACTAGGCACACTAATAGGCCATCCAGAGCTAATAGATTAAGATCACGTAACAAACCGTAAAGGAGCTGGTTCTAGCCTCTTATTCGCCATATTAGAATATACTCTAATATATAATAAGACGGTTAGTTAGTACTATATAATTATATAGGTAGTAGAAGGGTAGTAAGTAGATTAGTAGAATCTACTAAGGCGATTCTACTATTCTACTATTTACTATTCTATATAGGAAGAACTTAGGGATATATAAGGATACTTATTTATATATCTAGTTTAGTCCCTTATCTTTAATTATATATTATTACTTATATTTACCTTTTAGATTACTATAACTCTTTACTTAATTATAACTTAATAATACTTACTAGTAGACTAATACCCCGGTATAGATCTACTCGGCGCTCTACCTAGTATTAGTTCCTTAATCGCTTAAAAGGACTTAGGCTATAGTAAGGCCCTATACGGCGTTAGCTTAGTTAAGACCCGATCATTAACGTTAGACCATTCGAGGAGTATTAAGGCAAGTATACCCTAAACCTATCTAACCTAACTATGACCAGTTAGCTAGTGCGTAATAGTCGAGTCCTCTCTATATTAGGCTTCTAACCTAACTACCTACTATCTATTATATATAATAACTAGCAAACTATCGATTTATTAACTAAAGAAGGGGTAGCGATATATACGAAGCTCCGATATATTAATATTAATCGTTACTAGATAAGATAGGAGGTTAGCGAGGGTCGAGTTAATATTGACTAGGTTCTAACTACGGCTGTACTAGTAGATAGCCTTATAAAAGCGCTTCCGAGATAGAAGCAGTATCTCTTTAGAGAGCTAATTAGGATAAGAGAGATCAGTTATCTAATCCGAGAAACAGAGGCTGCTTGAAGAGAGTGTAGAAATTGATAGAATTGAAGCCATTAGAAGGCTTAGAAATGAAGGAATTAATAGCTCTTAAAGCTAGGAAAATGTAGGCTTTAAGAACTAGGGGGTATATCGAATACCAAGTCCGAAGGTAATATACCGGAAACATCATATGACATTGGGTACCAGGCATACCATACAAAAGTGCATATTACAGTTAGTCATCATGGTCCGCACAGATTGTTGAAATAGCGGGTTTTGTCATTTTAGTTAGTTAGAGTTGTCAATATTGGTCATTTATACCATACATTGTTCGTACACCAGCTTTCCGTCAGTATACGCAGAAGTATACGGTGACTCCCGGATATACTCTAGGAGTATATCAGGCAGTAGGAAACGAAGAATATATAAGGACACTCCCTCTTGTACTTTGTCTAGTTCTTTGTCTTCAATCATACATTGTTACTTGTGTTTACCTTTTGGATTACTGTGACTCTTTACTTGATTATAACTTGACAACACTTACGAGCAGACCAATACTCCGGTATAGATCTACTCGGCGCTCTACCTGGTATCAGTTCCTTGATCGCTCAAAAGGACTTAGGCTACAGTAAGGCCCTGCGCGGCATTAGCTCAGTTGAGACCCGATCATTGACGTTGGACCATTCGAGGAGTATTTAGGCGAGTATACCTTGAACCTATCTAACCTAACTGTGACCAGTTAGCTAGTGCGTAACACTAAGTAAAAGATTCTTGAATAGAAGGTATATGAATGATTATATGCTAATATTAGCACACGATCTGCTTTTATATCTGGGACTTTGACCTCGAGTCGCTCTCAATTAGAAAACAAAAGGAGACAACATCCTGAAACGGACGGAGTTCTCCGCTCTATCCTACGCCCCTTAGTCATGACGTATTTTCTTGGTAAGATGTAGTGCTTCAAAAAATAAGGCCAGCAGCAATGCTATCAACGAACTAACTATCATAGTATAAACGGCCCTATAGGGACAATCCTTTCTGGGTATAGTCTGCGGCGGGATGAGTGCGTCACTGTTCCTCACTGATTGGACACTGGGCATCACTAAGTAATCAGAGAGCATCCAATGAGCACTCACAGTGATTATGCACGTGACTGATATGAGCATGATCACTGATCTGAGCCCGTGCTGACATCTACTAAGTGAGCCTGAGTCTGAGCACCCTCATAAAAGCGGCGGCAGCTCAAATAGGAAAGCCCCACACGCCAGGGAAAATCCGGTACGTATAGGCACGTGGAGTAGAATATGTAGGCCCATACATGTAAACAAAGAAAGATGTACACCCGCTCTGTTATTCCTTTCTTTATGGAGCACGTGTCGTTCTGGAGAAGACGAGACAAGACGAGAAACGTTATCATGACCTATCTCCCCAGTTCTTCTCAGCTCTGAAGCTCTTCCTCTTCTTTTTCTCTCTTCTGTAATCTTCTTTCAAATCACCTGCAATGGATCTCATTCCAAGTGCTTTTGTGGCACGCCCGCTGAAGATTGTGGTTATCGGTGCTGGGTATGTACATACTAAACTCGGGCGATAACCACTTCTAACAGATTGTCCTAGTATTTCAGGAATCCAATTCGCACATGACGCGACCACATCATTATCAGGTATCGATCTCGAAATATATGACAGAAATCCTTCCCTTGGGGGTACATGGTATGAAAATCGATATCCTGGGTATGTACTATATTCCTGCGAGCTTTGTTACCAGATGAACGAGTTCGCTAATGCTGGGCTATAGATGCACATGCGATCTACCTTCCCATACTTACCAGTTTAATTGGGCACCCAATCCCTCATGGTCATCGCTTTATCCTCCGGCTCCGGAAATTCACAAATACCTGGAGGATGTGGCCGACAGGCACAATCTCCGCCGCTTCATGACGTTTAACACCAAATGCATCTTGGCGCAATGGAATGAATACTCCTCAAAATGGAAAGTTGTTCTCTGCAACGTGGTTTGCGGCGAAGAAAAGACCGTCTTTGCTGATGTCTTTGTCTATGCCGTCGGACGGTTGAACAACTACAAATTCCCTAAGATTGAGGGCCAGAAAAACTTCCGAGGAATCCAAGTGCACACTGCAAACTGGCCAGCTGACATGACTGTCAAGGATAAGCGGGTGATTGTGGTTGGGAATGGTGCAAGCGCCATTCAGTGCGTGGCAGCTTTGCAGCCAGGTGAGTCGCAAAGTCACTCCGAAGACACGCCACGCTGACCACGCTGACCCTCCGGGCACTCAAGTTGTTTCGCAAATAATAAACATTGCGCGAGGCCCAACGTGGATTCTCCCACATGCATTGGCTGAAGATGGTACCATCCAGCGCGAATGTGAGTGTTTTGCCTTACCACAAAAAGAAACGGATTAGCGACAGAAGGGCTCATCTATATCTAGACTCCACCGAACAGAAGCAGGCTCTCCAAGCTTACCCTATGCGCTATTATGACTTTTGCATCTCATTAGAGCAGAGACTTGCCGCAAGTTTCATGGGACTATGGAGAGAGACCAACTCTCAAGCCAATTTCACATTATTGGCACATTTATTCATGAAGTCCAAAATTACAAGCCCCGATCTTTTGGATGCACTCCTACCAGAATTCGAAGCTGGGTCGCTTTACGCCCGGGGGTCACTATCTGGATGCGTTGCAAAAGCCAAATGCCGTGTACGTGCATGACTCAATCAATAAGCTGACCGAGGACAGCCTCATCACTGAATCCGGAGCGGATTACGAGTGCGACATACTGGTATACGCCACCGGATTCGAGCCATACCAGCCACGGTTCCCAGTCGCTGGCCGCGCTGGACGATCGCTAAGTGAAGACTGGGATCGCGAGGGGCCTTGCGAGAGCTATATGGCTGCGATGGTCGCTGAGTTCCCTAACTTTTTTGGTAAGAACTTGGATGGCTTTTGTTGGCTTTTGTGCTTAACCGTTTTACTTGGACAGTCTTCAACCCCCCAATCTGCCCTGTAAATGGATCCGCTATCCCGGGCATCGAGAGAGCAAGCGACTATATGATTCGAATCTTATCACGACTCCAAACAGACAAACTGCGATCCGTATCTGTGACGCAGCGGGCTCAACGTGCATTTAACCAATGGGTTCAGTCGAGAATGCCTCACATGGTCTGGTCAGGCCCATGCAAATCATGGTGTAAGTAAAGATCCCTACCCCTTGTTCCTAGCTTTGTGAATTGACTCATCCTTGGTGGTACAGACAAGAACGACAATGGAAAGGTGGTTGTTCCCTGGCCCGGTACTGTCCTCCATTACTATGCGGCAACCGAGATTGTCCGTTGGGAAGACTTCGATCTAGTCTATGAGAACCCGGATGAGAAATATGCAAGCTTCGGCAATGGTGTGACAATTGATGGATTCGTGCCCAATCATTTCCCCTGGGTTCATCCCCCCACTGATATCCAGAAGCCAGAAAGGAATGTAGAGCCAGGTTCTTGAGTCCTTGCACCACCGAGCAACGTGTTGTATCGTGTGACAAGCCAAGTCTTACACTTGTTGGGCGCATGGTCGTATCCTGGTGAACCACCAATCAAGGGTTGAGGAATTTAACTACGCATAGCTAGCCTCCAAGGTTGTAAGAATCCAATATGTTTTCGTGTTAAATTTATGAATATATCTCTATTGTAGACGCTAGTACAACAACTAAACTAATACCACCCGAGATCGTGCTACGTTTCTGAATTATTGTAATTGTATAAGATAAATGTATACATTGGCTTCATTGTGTAGATCTTTGACATCCGATGTTCTGGACCGATCAGCATTTTAAGGTGGAGATCCCGGTAATTCATCGGTTATTTAAGCCACGCTTGTGGTTTTCGGCAGATTCACTTGGATTATTAATGAGCTATTTTGGACCTCTTCTGACTCATTTAGTCGAAAAGAAACCCAAGAAATTCCGCATCTGTTTCTTTCCTTGTTTCCTTGTTTCCTTGTTCCACCAATATCCATAATTGTGTTGACAGGTGAGCTCCCCTCCGCTCCAGGGCTTACCTTGGAGTTTGACGTCATATTCAATGCGAATCAAGGTCAAGACATAAATTATAGTAACTAATCTTTTTTTTTTTTTTCATTGCTAGAGCTCACATACATCAAATCGCAAATTTCACAATGGCCGATAATAAGATGGAATATGTTCGGTACAGACCCCGGCTCACATTCTACTCGAATAAAACGCTGATGCCAAATAAATAACAGCCTTGGAAACTCAGGCCTAAAGATCTCTAAGATCATTCTTGGAACAATGGGATATGGCAGCAATCAATGGCAAGACTGGGTCCTGGACGAGGAAGACTCACTGCCCCTGATTGAACATGCCTACAAGCAGGGCATCAACACTTGGGACACGGTAAATGAAGACGTTGTTAGAAAATCACCGAATAAGCTCCTAATATTTACCGTCTAGGCGGACGTCTACTCCCACGGCAAATCTGAGGAAGTCGTCGGAAAAGCCCTGAAGAAGTACAACATCCCTCGCAACCGCGTGGTAATCCTAACCAAGTGTTTCTTCGGCGTCGACGATGAGGGCAAATTCCCACCCATCGCCGCATCCGCCACAAACGACGGCCCCTTCGTCAACCGTACCGGCTTGTCGCGCAAGCATATCTTCGATGCCGTCGATGCCAGCGTGGAACGTCTGGGTACATACATCGATGTGCTGCAGATCCACCGTTTGGATCGGGATACTCCGCGCGAGGAGATCATGAAGGCGCTCAACGACGTAGTCGAGAGCGGGAAGGTTCGGTACATCGGTGCTAGCTCGGTATGTTCATCGTGCCCTTCCACTCCTACCTATTTCCCTATCTTTTATCCGCCTTCCCTCCCCCCCCAAAAATATCCAAGATTCCCACATTAACCTACAACCAGATGGCGGCCTGGGAATTCCAATCCCTACAAAACATCGCCGAGCGCAACGGCTGGCACAAGTTCATCTGCATGCAAAACTTCCACAACCTCCTCTTCCGCGAAGAAGAGCGCGAGATGATCCCTTACTGCCAAGACGCCGGAGTAGGCATTATCCCGTGGTCACCGATTGCCCGTGGGGCGCTAGCTCGGCCCTGGGGCTCGCGTGAGACGGTGCGTGAGAATACCGACGGCGCGCTGAAGATGTTTGTCCGTAGTCGCGAGTCCGAGGCTGATAAGGCTATTATCGACCGGGTGGAGGAAATCGCCAATAAGAAGGGCGTTAGCATGGCTCAGATTGCTATCGCTTGGTCTTTGACTCACCCTGGCGAGAACCCTATTCTTGGACTGCACAGTGTGAAGCGGATTGATGAGGCTGTTGCTGCTATTAAGGTTCAGCTGTCTCCTGAGGAGATTAAGTATCTCGAGGAGCCGTATATTCCTAAGGCTGTGACTGCTCTTGAGCGGTAAGGATTTTAGAGGGATATCTATATACGAAGGTTTATGAGGGCTGTGAATACCATGAATATTATGCAAATTGAAGTGGAATTTTGTCTTTTCCGCTAGATAGGGGGTTTGGACTTGTTCTTTTACAACAACAGCGCTGAGCTCTCGATGGTACATAGTACCTAGGCATAGCGGCACTATACACCTACATTTCCTAGTTCCCTTGTAAAGACAGATACGTACTCCACTAATCTGTGTACCGAAGATCTTCTCTCTTATAGGTATGTACTTTGCTTATCCTGGAAATATTCCCTATTCTCCCCTTCCTAAACATCGGCACTTCTACGGGCACCACCCACTCGATAATCCCGCTCCACAGAGTACGAGGTACACAGCTCATATAACCCCGCCATCAGCTTGGCAAACGCATGGCTGGTCTTTATCACATTCGGCAAGGCGATTATCTCACACGCTATTATCTTGGCGAACGCTAATTCGATCGAAGGCGCACACAAGGGTATACATTAGCGCCCAGCACAGGATAATCCCTTCCTAATATCTCCTAGCGCTTATGACAAGGCAGAATTACAATGGAGTGGATGGGTTCTACTCCGGGATATCCGGTCTCGTTCAGAGGATCAGGCGGCTCCCAACTAGTTGGCATCGCTTGCTACAGATTGCAAGGTGATATTAGGGATTGTTGTAGCTTAAAGTTGTAAATGGTTTGATTCACTAGTTGAGTTGAACGTGCATGAAGAGATGATAGAATTGAAAAGACTTGTGGAATTGACTATGTGTGATGGGGTATTTATATTCATATGTAGCGTGACGGATAGATGGATAGCAATGTACACGAGTGAGATACAAGCATATACATTTTGAGTTTGCGCCCCCAGGAGATGAAATATAGTGAGAAATAGGTATGAAAAGAGAAGACTGGAAGGACGCGCAAATGCAAATGATGCAAGAGGCTAGTTGTAATGAAAGAGAGGAGAGTAGAAGAGAAAGAACACCGGCAAGAATTCGTACCGGACGAATTGCGCTGCAACGTATGAACGCCCGACTGATGCCAGATGCAATGGGACTTTTAACGTGGTGCTGTGATGCCTACATGTGGACTAGCCACAAACATGATGCAGGGGTATACATGGCGATGGGGAATTGAAAGGTCAATGAGTATCCTGTTTTCGGTGAAAAATGCCAAAGAGGGTACTGAGGCGACGGCGAACTTTTCCCTTGCTGGAAGTTGTGTCGACAGCTTCGGGGAGTAGAATATCCGGCTTCTCCTTGCGGGTGCTGTTATGCTGTGTGATGCCGGAATTTGAGATAGGAGGATGTCCATTTGGAGCGGCATTTGATTTGCTGTTTTCTCTTTCCAGCTTGGCCTTTGTAGGAGATTTCAGTTTAGGCTGACTAGCTCGAGATGAATCCTCCATATCAGCGGAAGGTTGGCGAGGAGAAGGAGGACGGGAGACAACGATATCGCGGCCGTTTTCGCCCAAGGTAGTGACCATGCTGTGTCGATTCAGGCGAGTGCTGAGTCCAGAAGCGGATCGTTGCTTCGCTCGAGCCATGAATGCAGCACCGGTGGAGTTGGAGCGCCTGGACAAACTATCGAATTGCGTTCGATCCGCGGTGGATGGGGTAGTGGAACGGCGAATATTGGAAACCGACATGTAGCGTTTGCCATCCTCATCGTTGTTTGGGAACGAGTCGGTTTCATTTTTGGCGGTCGTTGGAGATACATGTTTCAACGATGTTGGAGACATAATCGACTTCGCACCAGACGAAAACACCGGGTCGCCGTAGCTGAAGTTGTCTGACCACCCCTCACGGAAGGCGACCCAGATGCCGGTGATAACAATCAAAGTACGAAGCCCATCATCAAGGGTGACCGAGCTTCCATCGAGGGGAGTCTCTGCATCCGAGGCATCACTCACGACCGACATTCCTGAAGTGGGAGTCGTGGGACCGGTGCCAGACCGAACAGCCGTGGAATATTCATCATAGATTTCTAACTGATTTCGAGTCATGGAGGCGAGAACGGGATGCCGGCGAGTGGTAGGATCGATGACGCTGAAAGTGAAGCGTTTGCTATCTTCGCGTAATTGCGCCGAGGGCGTAGTCATCCGACGACTCCTTCCACCACGCAAAGCCCACCGCATGATCTGCAAGCCGCTATCTGTCTGAGCGACGAACTCGTAAGACCCGCTTGGGAGGGGCGAAGCCTCCCAGACAGGCCCGAAATTCAGGCATATCTCCGCCTTTCCTTTCAGTCGAGCATCTCCTTGATGCTTTTGACAGATCGTGGCGACTACCTCCCGATGATCTTCGTCCTCATCCTCCGAGCTGACGCGTTTTTCAGGAATGCTGCCCACCGTCCGGTCATATTGTTCGCTCAACACCACGATTAGGTCATACGGACCCAATCCATTTCTGGTCCGATAGATGGCCGGGAACTTGCGGGCCAATAGTGGCAGGTAAGACGTCGATGGCAGAATATCCACTACCGGTAGTGGCCGAGGGGTTTGCGACACCTGTTGTAGCTGCAGGAGGAGCTTAGGACGAAGTCTCAACCGCTTGTGGCGAGCGTGAGCGGCGGGATGGGCGAACTGATATGATGTTTTGGGTCGAGATTTCCGACCTGTGGCTGAACGGCTGACTTGGGGCCTGGCGACAACAGCTGATTCTGTGGAAGGTTCACCAGTGTCCGAGGCCGACTCAATTGGACTCATGACCATAGCGGATACAAGCCCCGGACAATCAGTAGAACCATCAGCGAGCCTGGGAGGACTGTAGAAGGAGTTCAACAATGGTAGAGCAGACAGTAAGCAGGTAGGCGGGTAAACAGTACAGGCAGAAGGCCGGGATTCTGGTGCATGGGCTGCTGCGGCATCCGCTGTGAGGCCAAGATTCAACAGCATTCTTGAGCCCTAGCGGAGCCACATTGGTGTTGAAGACCCAAATCTTTGTGGAATTTCACCCGGACCTAATGTACTAGTCATGAACAGCCCGTATTCAAACGCGTCAGCTGCGGGGGAATGTTCAGCCCCGGAGCTATGTGTGGGGAAGACCTAATCACGATTGCA